ATCTGAGAGCATTACTGGCCGTGTTCTGTTTCTTTTACTTTGCTGATTAGGCTAGTTGAAACATCTGCAAAGTTTCACTCTGAAACAGGCTTTGAGGCATGCTTCAGTCATGCTTTTGCAGCCAAGCATAAGTCCCTTGAAAGTGGCCAAAGCTGACAAAAGGTTAACAAAGATGCATAATTATTTCAATACATACAAAAAACTAGAACTCTTGGTTCCAAAATGATACCTTTTATTAGACCAACTGGAAAATGGCAAGAAAATTGTCTTTTTGTGCAAGCTTTCAGGATCAAAGTCCCTTCGTCAGGCTCTGGGAAAAGTGTAGATGGTACAAGATAGTAAAAAGTCCCCATAGGTAGGAAATAAACTTCATTTTTGCACAGAGGAAGCTGAAGATGGAAGGTTGTCCCTCTGGGTCCATGAGAGTGTCTTTGTGAGCTGTGTTGAGTAGCTCTTTGATGTGTTGATCAGGTAGAATTCCTTCCCTGGAGGTGTCAGATGGCAGGTGGGGAGGTAAAAAAACTTCCTTGTTATTCTGCAGTGAAGTTTAAAATCCAAAATTGGCTAAAATTTGGCATCTTCCATGTTTCAGGGGTGTACTTGGTAGCCATGTTGGTTAATTATTTCAATGGAATTCTAACTGACTACATACAACTTAATTCTTATAACATCAGCTATTACTTTTAGCTGCCCTTAAGCACTTTCAACAAAGCAATTCTTGGTCTATTCTAATATTAGTGGCTTTGATAAACAGATTTTTATTCTACTTTCCAGGCTGCTGCTTATAACTTAAATGCAAGCGTATTTATTATTGATTATATATCAGCTGAAATGCACAGTATTCATATCTCAGGTCTTTGTTAGGTCCATAGTCTTCACCCATCAGTGTGGTCTGAGGGTCACTGATCATGTCTATAGCCTAAAACAGAAAAGGACCAGAAGCTGGATATGAGCCAACAGGGTTCTCTTATTGCAAAAAAGCCAAGCCATAATAGGTTGTATTAAAAGGAGTATCACTTACAAATCAAGGGAAGTGATAGAAGTGATTCAACCATACTGTTTGGCACTGGTTATGCCTCACTTGGAGTATTATGTCCACCTTTGGGCCCCACATTTCAAGAAAGACATGGGCAGATTAGAAAGAGTCCGGCAGAGTGAAAAAAAATATTAGGGACCTAGGAACCAGGCCTTATGAGGAAAGGCTGAGAGAATGAGGGTTATTTAGTTTGGAGAAGACTAAGGGCAGAGCATCTCTGTGACAGAGCAGAGATTTCCCAAGTCCTAGGCTGGTGTCTTAACAACTAGATTTTACTATATTTCCTTGTTTAATTCAGGTTATTGACTAGAAAAAATAATTTTCAATCAGAAGGCCAGTAGTTGAGGTGGGAATAGAAATTAGGCAGAATAGGCCATGGAGAAGGGAGCTGAGAGGTGTGGTTTTCCTTTTATATAAAGATTGGTTTTAATGTAATTTTTTGCAACCCAGTTGCAAGGAGAACATTTCCCCCAGCAGTCCCAAACAAATGTCAGTTCTTGGTAGAAGATAACCTACCTGCAGCAAAGGGCTGTAACAGCTACAAGCAAAAATATTGGGGATGGAAATGATGTTTCTGCCTATTATAGTTCTGGGTTTGGGGGACAACCATTGAGAATCCTCCCTGCATAAACCCATTTGGCCAGGTCCTTAGTTCCTGCTCTGACCCCTCTGTGCTGCCTCATTCAGCAAATGAACTGGAAAACTGCTGACAAGGAACTTGGGGACACCATCGGTGTGAGAAAACCAGCAGCCATAGCCCTGGTGTGGTCTGTTCTATGCTCCCCTGCTCTGGGTCTCAACCCCTATTCTCAGCAGAGGGGAATCTTGGGTGTGGGAGAGGGTACAGGGTGATTTGCAGTGGTAATCTCCAGTAATGTAGCAGATCTTGGTTTTTCCCAGGATTAGGGGAGTATAAATGTGGCTTGAAGCTGTCTGTGATCTAACTGTTGTGGCGTGGGAATGAGCAGCATTACCATAAAGCATGGCTCTGGAGAGTACCGTATATTCTCATGTACAACATGTCTCCAGATAAGACATGTACCTTTGTGGCAGGGCACTGTGTGTGCCTGCCA